TCTGTGCGCTTCATGTTTGATCCGCCGCTGGCCACGCTCTCGTTCCCCTCGGCCGACCCCGCCGCGCTCGTGCACGCCGTCGCGGCCGCCGGCTGGGAGGCCCGCGTCGCCCCGAGCGCGCGCGAACTCGTGCCGCGCCGTGTCGTGCTCCGCGTCGAGGGCATGACATGTATGAATTGCGTCGGGAAAGTCGCCGCCGCACTCGAGGCATTGGAATCTGCCACTGACGTCGCCGTGTCGCTCGAGGACGGCCGAGCCACCTTGAGATTTGCGGGCGAGGACGATGCTCTGGTGCGCGCCGTCGCCGAGGGCGCGAACAAGGTTGCCGTCGTTTTGCCTCTAAACGGTCAGGTGGCCGCGGAGGAAGACCAGCATCTATCCCAGGTCGACCTATCGCCGCCCGTGAGCCCGCTACGCGATGTTGTGCTTCGTATCGAAGGTATGACGTGTATGAATTGCGTCGGGAAAGTCTCCGTCGCGCTCGAGGCCTTGGAATCTGCCGCTGACGTCGCCGTGTCGCTCGAGGACGGCCGAGCCACCTTGAGATTTGCGGGCGAGGACGATGCTCTGGTGCGCGCCGTCGCCGAGGGCGCGAACAAGGTTGCCGTCGTTTTGCCTCTAAACGGTCAGGTGGCCGCGGAGGAAGACCAGCATCTATCCCAGGTCGACCTATCGCCGCCCGTGAGCCCGCTACGCGATGTTGTGCTTCGTATCGAAGGTATGACGTGTATGAATTGCGTCGGGAAAGTCTCCGTCGCGCTCGAGGCCTTGGAATCTGCCGCTGACGTCGCCGTGTCGCTCGAGGACGGCCGAGCCACCTTGAGATTTTCGGGCGAGGACGATGCTCTGGTGCGCGCCGTCGCTGAGGGCGCTAAAAAGGTCGCCGTTGTATTAGACCCGCACCGCCCGGTCGCCGTGCCGCTCACCGTCAACAAGAACCCGCGCATGTCGAAGGTTGAGCTGTCGTGGCCCGTTCTGGGCAAGGACGACACCATCGTCCACTTTTCGAACGAGGATGTTACGCGAGGGTACCGCAAGGAGCACCATGATAGCCTTGTGGAGAGCGATGCCTCCTCAGCCAACGACGTCACCACACAATTGCGCGTGAGTGGCATGACGTGCTCAGCGTGTGTGGGGTCTGTGGAGACCGTCCTGTCCAAGGCCGACGGTGTGTCGAAGGCGAAAGTCAACTTGCTTGCCGGACGCGCCACCGTCATCCACGACGCGTCCCTCACCGTCGCCCAAGAACTAGCCGCTCTCGTCGCCGCCTCAGGCTTCCAGTGTCAGGTTTTGGAAAGCACCGGCAATAACGACAAATCCACCGCGGCAAACGTTCCCGTGGCCTCATCCTTCCGCATTGACTTTCCCACTGACGCCCAAGCCCAGAACGCTCTGAAGATCTTGCGTTTCTCTCCTGGCGTCGAAACTGTCCAAGTGGCTGGCTGCACTGCCTCTCTCACCTTGACTCTTGGCATGCCCAAGTCCCAGATCCTTCGTATTTTAGAATCGGATGGCTTACTCGGCAAAATGATTTTGAAGCGCTCGTTTGACTCGGAGCGCGCCGCCAACCTCCGCGGCGACAACCTCGGCGCCACCGATGTCATCGACGAAGAAGCCAACATGTGGCGCAAGAGATTTTTGATGGCCTTCTCGCTTATGGTTCCCATCATGCTCATTGGATTCATCCAGGGTCGCACCATGAGGTTCCGTATGGGCCAAGTGCAGTGGGTCCACTTTGCCCTAGCAACGCCCGTCCAGTTTATCTGTGGACGAGGATTTTACCGCTCGAGCTACTATGCGTTGAAGAAGCGACGGGCAACGATGGACGTTTTGGTCGCCCTCTCCACCTCCATTGCATATTTTTCCAGCGTGGTCGTAGTTTTGAGCGGCCAAGGATTGAGCGGTGACATGTCTCTGGGTCACGCGGCCATGTTCAATGTCTCGGCGATGATTATCACAATGGTATTGGCTGGCAAATGGCTCGAAGCAACCGCCAAGCGGAGAGCAGCAGCTGGAGTGGCCGCGTTGTCAGCCCTCTCACCTGACAATGCAATTTTATACGACGTGCGGGAGGGTGTCTCCTGTCACACGGAAGTGCCTGTGAGTGTCATCAATGTCGGTGACATTGTTCGCCTCTTTCCAGGGGATCGCGTGTCCACCGATGGTCAAGTCATTGACGGAATGTCTGCAGTTGACGAATCCATGCTCACGGGAGAAAGCAACCCCGTGCCGAAGAGAAAGGGCGACTTTGTCTATGGCGGCACTGTCAACGGAGGTGGATCCATGCTGGTCCGCACATCCGCCGTGGGTGAGGAAGCCGTCCTGTCTCAGATCGTCAAATTGGTGAATGACGCACAAACTTCAAGAGCACCGATCGAGGCATTTGCCGACCGCGTCTCTGCAGTCTTTGTACCCACCGTCGTCACCATATCTCTCCTCGTGTTTGTAGGATGGTACAGCGCCGCAGTATTTAACTGGATTCCCAGGGAATGGTGGGCTGCTGAGGGGCGCTTCTTTTTCGCCCTCTTATTCGCTCTGGAGACTATGGTTATCGCTTGCCCATGCGCGCTCGGGCTGGCCACGCCAACAGCCGTGATGGTTTCGTCGGAAGTTGGAACGCGCATGGGCGTACTTTTCAGAGGTGGCGGTGCAGCCTTGGAAGCGGCCAAAGGCGTCAAGACGGTACTATTCGACAAGACGGGAACTCTCACAATGGGCAAGCCCGAGGTTGCCGCCGTGCTTGTTGGGGAAGAAGGCGCAAACGCTGTGGAACAGGCATCCGTTATTCTCTCTGACTTGATCTACGCCGTAGAATCTGAATCGCATCACCCCTTGGCTTCCGCCATCACAAGTTATTTAAGGGGTAAGAGCGGTGAACAAGTGAGTGCCGGCAGCTTCGCATACAAAATTTCTGAGCTTGAAGAGTTGCCTGGGCGCGGGGTTAAGGCGGTTGTGAACAAAGGAGAGTATTCTGTCCGAGTTGGATCTCGGGCCTGGGCATTTGGTGAGAAGGGTGATCTGGAAAGACAACTGTTGACGGCATCAGAGCTTGCACAGATTGACAGGATGGAGCGTGAGGATGGGCTTACTGTGGTTGCGGCGGTTGTGAACAGCTCCCTAGTTGCAATCTACGGTTTGGAGGACACTGTCCGACCGGAAGCGGAGGCTGTTGTGTCATACCTCAAGTCTGAGCTTTCAGTCGCGTGCCACATCGTCACCGGAGACTCCGAGGAGACAGGACGTGCAATAGCGCGTAGAGTTGGAATCCCAACAAACAATCTGCGGTCGAGAGCAATGCCATGGACAAAGATTGATGTGGTCAAATCGCTTCCGGAGGGAAGTGGATGTTTTGTGGGTGATGGCATCAATGATGCACCGGCATTGGCGGCATCATCTCTAGGGATCGCGATTGGCGCAGGGGCACCCGTAGCCGCCGAGAGCGCGGCTGTGGTTCTCGTGAGGTCCGACCTGCGTGGTGTGGTGAATGCACTTGCATTGGCACGGGCTACGTTCAGACGGGTCCGCATCAACTTCGTGTGGGCAATAGGGTACAACATTTTAGGAATTCCTTTGGCTGCCGGCGTCTTGTACCCGTTCTTCCAAATACGTGTACCACCGCTTGTGGCGTCTGGAGCGATGGCTCTATCCTCAACATGCGTGGTTCTGTCATCGCTGGCGCTCCAATGGTTTAAACCGCCAAATCTCGACACGGCTCCGAGGTCAAACGGTGCAGAAATGTATGGGATTAGCACGCGACGGGAAGCATTCACCATTTGGGAGGAGGCAGATGAAGGAAGCGATTTAGTGGCTGCGAGCAGCGCCGGGTCAGACGCATCGTGGCGAGCTGTCGAAACCCCACTGCTTGATGGAGAGATGGCGGTCTAGTGTCTAGACGACAAGCGATTTGACCTCATATGAGGTCAGTCATGGCCTCATATGAGGCCAGTTGTTTTTTGCAAAAATATATATAAATTAAATCGAAACTTTAAAAAGTCAGTTTGGACACCATTTCTTTAACGTATTTGCCCTCGGCATTAACATCTTGCAAAACATTGGGATGGCAGTTTCCAATGCACAGAGAGACTAAGGGTCGTTCTAACTCCAAAAATTAATCAAAAATTAATGTACGGTACCGCATGGATTTTGGATGGCAGACGCTCATTGGGCATACCCTACCAAAAATCTTCTCATTCCATACACGAGCTCCATTCCGCATGCCACACTTTTGGGACTTGCAAGCCGATCTGCCGCAAGTCCCGCTGGCTCTTTTGTGTATGGAAGACGATTCCCAGCCCCAAATCGGGATCTCACGCTCTTACAAAAAAACCCAAATACTGATTGTCACCTCGAATTTCGCCCTCGGTCCTGTTCAAAAACACAGAACCGCACCTATCCACCCTCCTCCCACCTCAAAGCCTTCCCAACCCCTCCGACACAAATATGTCCTCTCCTCGCCGTCCCTCATATCCACCGAACCCGCGCGACACCATGAACCGTCGAGATGCCGCACGTCGTGCCGCACCCGTCGCGGCACAGAGCACCCCGAGCCCCCAACACATCCATGTGGCGCAACGTGAAGACCTCACACAACCACCCCCCTCCATTTTTCCCTCCTTGTATGATCCCGAACAAACGCCCCCTGAAACCCATCCCCCAGTTGAAAGCAAAAAACCCCACCCGCTTTTATCGCCTTCACCTCAAGCCCCTTTACGTCGGGGTGTCGAATCAAGAAGTCACTCTTATCATCCACATGGCGCACAAGTCTTAGAAGAGTTCACTACTCCATCCTCTCACGCACCCACTCGACAAGTCCTGGCAGGTTTTGCACATGTAGACCCGCCTTGTCGCGTTGGGATTTCCCCAGACAAGCTACCACAGGCAATATTATCTAGGGCATTACGTCGTCTCGGAATTTCAAGCAACCGCCGAAAAGGCGTGCTAGCTACGCGGCTGCGCACACACGGAATCGATAGCCCGGAACGCATATCGACCCTTGCAAGAAAGTGGGAAGAGGTGGGGTGTGTTGATGTGTCAATTTTGGGAGGGCAGATCAGCGGTTCTCATCAAAAGAGTACCGCTGAGATCTCGTGCCCCCAACTGGACCCGACATGAAACAGCTCGTCTCTGTCATGTGATGGCTGATGCTAGGAATCCAACAGTGCTACAGTGCATGTATCAGAGGGCAGAGACGCGAGCGGAGCTTGATGAAGGACGTCATGACCCTTTTGCGCATGAATTTCAAGATCTGTTCAATGATCGAGAATTTGTACCATCCCCACCGGAGCCCGTCGATGGCATTGTCAGTGATTTGTTGAGTACATTTGATGCTAGCCTACATCCCTTCCGGAGGGATGGAACTACTTTAAAGCAAAGATGGACTCGTCTGCGATCACTGTACACAGTAGCTTGCAACAACTTTGCAAAATCGGGACAATCTGATTCTGAGATGTTTCCATCATTCATGCGAGGGGACGAGTCCTTGTGCTACATGCATTGTGTATTTAAACACCACCCGAGTATAGATGCAGTTTTAAGATCTCTACCGCGACATGCATGGGGAGAAAGCGGGGTTGAGGAGATTTCTCGTACAAGGTCTACAGTACCATCGGACTCATACTCTGGGCGTAAAAGACGTCGGGATGATGGCCTAATGGACATTGCTCAAGTCGTCAAGCAAATGGCGACTGAGCAGACTGCTCCTACGCCAATAATTATTCAGCACTCTCCCGGTCATGCTGGGAGCCATAATGGAACCGGTGAAAGAAGTCAGGCTGCAGCAGGAACCAAAATAAATCCCTCCTGTTCAGAAACAGTTGCTACAGTCAGGGACCTACTGGATCTCGAGCGACAACTATGTGATGACGTAAAGGGTTTGGCAACTGTAGACAGCGCTCCAATTCACGAAGAAGATAAGCGAAGCGCTACAGGTCTCTTCGTTTAAAACTGCTGCGCAAAACGAGGAATTCAATTGCAAAACATATGCGTACTCTGGACGACGATGACTCTTCTGGAAATGAGGAGTGATTATGTACAAAGACAGAATTTACGGTCTACGGATAGCAAGGTTATGAAAGTTATCAGAAAAATGTTGTCGTAAAATTGAGGTATCTAGGTCCCGACGTCGGCGATGATCCATCAGGTCGCACTCGTCTTGTAAGTGGACAGTACGGTCAGGTCCACACATATGACCTAGGTCATCTTCATGAGAAGGATTTGGAACCTCGAGGTCAGCGTTTCGATCAATAATGTAGTTATGGAGTTTACAGCATACCATGACAACGTGGACACTTTTGGGCAAGTGGCACGACAACGGTCGCCATAACACCCCCAGCGAGCAACCAGCATACCGAATGCCTGTTCAATAAAAATGCGAGCTGAAGATTGCCAATAATTGAAACAGTCCTTTGCTGTAGACAGCCCACGACCCGGCCAAGGCGTCAACAACCTCTCTGAACATGTGTAGGCGTCATCTGCTGCCACCCAATATCTTTGATGTAGTCCACTGTCGGATTTTGCCAACAGCGCAGCTAGGGAGGTTATGCTATATGCCGTGCTGTCATGCGTTGATCCTGCGGCGAGGCATCCAACGTATGTACACCTGTAGAACGAGTCACAAATTGCCTGAACATTCAGGGCAAAAAAGCCCTTGCGATTGTAGTAGGATGAGGAATTGGGAACCTCAATTCGACTTGGTTCCTTGATTTTTATGGCAATGCCATCGAGCGCACCGCAGCACCCGCGCAAAACACTTGTTACTCCTCTCGAAAATCCATCTGAAACCTTCTCAAGCCACGCAAGATCACTGTACGGAAACGACAAAGGGAGCACGAGGTCGAGGTCGTCAAGTGTTTGATCAATGTAGTAGTAAATGGACGAAGGTGGTTGTGAATGCGCGACAGACAGGTCCAGATATGAACCTCCTGCTAGCCATCGGATAGTTACTGACAGGAGAAGCAAAGGGCACGATCTCCTACATGGACCGTTGTACTCTCGGACGAGCTTTTCTGCAAGGTCCAGAAATACAGGCAAGGGCATTCGGTATAATCGCTTGAAAAACGATGCCGTCACCGCTGCGTGCATCGAGGAAAACGAACAGGAGGTCCGGATTGTGTTAGTACTTCGTGCTCTCTTGCGATAGAGGCTGCAGTATAGGAACGAGCACAGTATCACAATGAGGCGTGCTTTTCTGCGCCTCTGTATCGCTGTTGATAGCGCCTGCATCTCTGCAAAGGAAGGGAGATGTTCTTCGTCAGTGTCTCGATCCATAGTGCAATGGAGTCCGGGACCAAAGTGTGAGTGCCGTCCTGGTGATGGCGCTTTCGCCTCGTCCTACAGTATATGGAGCGCCACTCCAAAAACATACATTCTGATACTGTACTCTATTTGGAACAAAAGGTAAAATTTTCAATGTACAGTATGGGAATCCATACCGTACCGTGCATAAACTTTATGAGTTGGAACGAGCCTAATGAAGTTTCAATGATCAGTTTGCTTTTTAAACCGGCGTTTTGGTTTCGAAGAAATCAACATAAAACGTTTTGAGGTTGGTCAAAAAGGCTCCTTTTTTGGGCATTTTAAAAATGGCTGGAAAAGACGTGCAGATCTCACCAAACTGCGCTCTTCTGCAACGCAGAAGTCAACTGCGGTGGCGAGAGTATCTTTTTCCATCTTGTTGAGCCAGCACAAGTAGAAAAAAATATGTTGAAAAGTGACCTCATATGAGGTCATTTGTCACCTAGACACTAGGGCAGACGGAAAGGTACTGTAGATAACTTTTTTATTTCTAGAGGACGAACCAGGTTTCACGTGCCCAGTGGACACGTGGACAAGTTTTTGGATTGTTTGACTCACTTTGAAAGTTTCGGTTAGTTTTGGGGTTTTTGACTTAGAGGTTCTAATTGACGCTCTGCCTTACTCAGGTTGGGGCCTCCGGTGGTTAGTCGGTTGTTGTGCCTGCCTCTCCAACTCCCCGTCGCTCCGAACCGGGACCTTTATAGAACTCTAGAAGGTAGCTACTCTACAGGTAGAATAGCCTAGACTACACTAGAAATAAACTTTCCTATTAAAATTCCCACTAAATGACCCCATCTGGCTACATCTTTGCTCCCCCTCCATCTTTGCGTGGTCCTCCTCGCCCGCAGGATCCCCTAAGGATCCCGCTAAGGCTGACCGGGTCGTCCTCGGGGACTCTTTCTTGCTATAGAGTTCCCATTCTGCTAGCGAAGAGGAGGAGGACCTGACGGTCGGGGTGAGCGCGGTAGTGCACGTGTAAATTACTGTACACGTCACATACATCGTCACTGTCCTGCTCAGCTCCTGTTTACAGTCTGTGAGGGAGCTGAGCGGGACCCTAATCTTATAACGCCTCCCTTTTCAAACGATTATTCGTCCGCGAATAAGTGGTAATTGTACGTTTGTATGAGTTGTTGTGTGATTGCTGGGTCATCCTTGTCTATCCATGTGTCGTCAATTGGATTGGTGTTCCTGAAGTGCACAAGGAACTGTACTTGTCCGTCGTATATGCGATGAGTAATAATTCTTTCAATGCGTTTCTTGTCTGCGGTTGTATGGGTCTTGAACTTGGTTGGTTCTTGTTGTCTGTTCGGGTCTTCTTGGTATGGTTTCAGAAGCGATATGTGAAATGTTGGATGAATATTTCGGTATTGCAACGGTAGTTCTAATCCGTATGCGGTCCCACTTGCTAGGACTTCCAATACTGTGAATGGTCCTATGTATTTCCGAGCGAACTTCTTGGTTCTCCCTGGATTGATTGGTAGATTCTTGGTTGATAGCATAACTTTGTCGCCTGCTTTGAATGTTAATTGTTTTCGATGTTTATTAACTGTTTCGGCGCTTCTTGCGTTGGCTTGGTTGATTGGTTCTTCTGCGAGTTTAGTTGCAGTGTCGAGTTTCTGAAGAAAACGATCTGCAGAGGTATTTCTTCAATGCATGTTTTCGCTTATATCCGAATGGATTATATATTAGATATTGCGAACGGGTGTTGACCGTACTCCAGAGAGAATGGCGTTTGGCGAGTAGTATCGTTGACATGATTGTTGTAAGCAAATTCTACTCCTGGTAGATATTTTTCCCAGTCTTTCTGAGTGTAGCTTACATAACAGCGTAGCATTTCCTGAAGTGTGCGAAATGCTCTTTCAAACTGTCCATCAGTCTGTGGGTGAAATGCTGTTGAGAAGTTAAGTTTAACTTTAAGCATTTTCATAAGTTCTGTCCAGAAGAACCCTGTGAATCTTGTATCTCGATCTGATATTATTTTTCGCGGTAGTCCATGGTGTTTGTAGATTTCTTTGGAGAACGTTTTTGCTATGATTTTGGCGCTGTTGTCCGATCCGAGTGGTATAAAGTGTGTTCGTTTTGATAGTTTATCTACAACGACCATAATTGCGGTTTTGCCGTCCATTGTTTTAAGTAAATCGAATATGAAGTCCACTGAAATGACTTCCCATTTCTTAGTTGGAGGTGGAACGGTCTTAGGTTTCCAAGTTGGTTCTGAGTTGAGCTCTTTGCCTCTTGGCATTTAAGGCATTTTTTCACGTACTTGTGGATATCTTTCTTCATAGTTGGCCAATAGTAATGCCTTGATATAAGGTAAGTCGTTTTATTACTTCCTCTATGCGATCCAAATAATTATTCGTGGAAATCTTGTAAAATGGTCCTTCGGAGTTCTCCTTTTGGTATGCATAGCCTTTTTTCGAAATACAACCGTTGTCCCGTTGTTGTATAGGGCTCTACTGGATCCTGGAATTGTTTTTCGAACGATTCGTCGTTCTCATAGTCTTCTTGTAGATTCCGTAACGTTTCTTGGCTTACATTCACCTTTGTGAATGCCATTAACTGTTTTACTATATTTGATGTTGTATGATGTACTTCTATATATTGTCGAGATAGTGCATCAGGTACGACGTTTGATTTTCCTTTGATGTAATCAATAGAATAGTCGAATTCTTGCATGAATTCAACCCATCTTGCTTGTCTTCTAGATAACGTTTTCTGTGTATCCAGATATTTTAACGGATGATGATCAGTCATGATCTTGAATTTAGAACCATGTAAGTATGGTCTCCATGTATGCAGAGCATATATGATAGCTAAGAGCTTTCGCTCATGCGTACTGTATCCTTGCTCTGCTGGATTCAGTTTTCTAGAAGCGTATGCCACAGGACGACATCCGGATTCGTCGGTTTGGATCAGTACCGCCCCGACACCTGTTTGAGATGCGTCTGCAGTTAGTTGATATGGCAGATTTGGATCTGCGCATCTTAGCACTGGTGCTTCTGTTAATCGCTGCTTTAGCTCCTGAAATGCTAAAGCTTGCGGCTTTTTCCATTTGAAGGGATTATTTTTGCGAGTAAGGTTTGAAAGAGGGGTCGCAATTGGTGCGAAGTCTTTTACAAATCTTCTGTAGTAATTACAAAGTCCTAGAAAACTTTGCACTTGTGTTACGTTTTGTGGTGCTTCCCAGTTCTTTACTGCTTCAATTTGATTTGGATTTACTTGAATACCGTCTTTTCTAATGATGTGTCCAAGGTATTCAATGATTTGAGAGAGAAATTCACATTTTGATAGCTTCCCATACAGCTTGTGTTCTCTCAATAGGTCTAGTACTGTTCTGAGGTGTTTCACGTGCTCTTCTTTCGTTTTGCTATAAACAAGTATATCGTCAAGATATACAAGAACAAATGTATCTAAATAGGGCCTAAATATGTTGTTCATTAATGTTTGAAAACATCCAGGTGCGCCCGTCAGTCGGAATGGAGTCACCAAGTATTCGTATTGTCCGTACCTCGTCCTAAAAGCAGTTCTCTCTATGTCTGAGTCTTTCAGCCTTATTTGATGATATCCAGATCTAAGATCTAGCGTCGAGAAGTAGTTAGCTCCACCGACTTGATCCCATACTTCATCAATTCTTGGTAACGGAACCTTATTTTTTATCGTTTGTTTGTTCAATGCTCTGTAATCTATACACATTCGGAGACTTCCATCTTTTTTAGTTGTAAATAGTACTGGACTTCCCCAAGGGCTTATGCTTGGTCTGATAAATCCTAGGGATAGAGCCTCCTCAATCTGTTTTTCATTTCTTCGAGTTCTTTTCTTCAGAGCTTATAGATTGGCCCCATCTTGAGTTTTGCATCTTTCTCGAAATCTATACTCATTTCCACTGATCGTTTTGGTGGTAGTCCATGCGGTAACTCTTTGGGAAATACATCTTTGTATTCTTCCATCATACCCATTAATTCTTCATTTTTAAGCGCTTCAGGACCTTCCCCTGTTCTTTTTTCTTCACTGCTTTTTAACACTACATGATATATCATACTCTTTTGCTTTTTTGCTAGTCTCACGAACTGCTTACTCGTCAACATGAATGTAGGGTGGGATTCCCCATGTTGAAGAGCTTCTTCGTCCAGAGTTATTAATCTAGATCCTTCTTTGAGGAGCGTACAATTATCTTTCCAGTCGATTATTGAGTTGGCTTCAGATAGCCACGCCTTGCGTAAGATTAAGTCGTAGGCGATCCAGTCCACTACGTATGGCCGTACGTTGATGGTAGCTTCTCCAATCTGTATGTTTAGATTCTCGCAACACCGTTCCATTGGAACTAGTGTTCGGTCCCATAGTTCTGCATTGAGACTAGTTTTCTCTCATTTCATTTTCAATTTTTCTGCATATTTCTTTGATATTACGATCTCTTCACACCACTATCCACAAGGATGTTACATGAGAAGTTGGCGGTACTACTTTGTACCCTTCCTATGTAAAGCAGTAGGCTTTGTCTCTGTGATTTTCTCCTTTTCCTGTATGGTGAAAATGCACATAGTTTCACATTATTATTTTCTCTACTTGATATATTCGACCTAAGGTCTTCTTTTTGTGCTTTTGTATTTTCTGGGTTTTTGTGATTTTTGATTTGTTTTCTTATGGAAGTCGGCAATTTTACAAGTTTCCACTAATGTGCCGAGACCCTTCAGTGGAACTGCTAGTTTTTCTTATGAGGATATGCCTTGTTGTTCAGGTAGGGCTTGTTGTAATGGTTACGCGCTATGCAATTTGGTTTTGCACAT